GAAAATTTAAGGAGTTATTATTATGTACGTTTAGATGATACAACCGGTAGGATACTTTTGCACGTTACTGTATGTTATCTATATTGCAATTGGGGTATAATATTTAATTTATTTGTAATCAAATTATGCAAGCAGCGATACTGTAATCTCGATGTGGTGTAATCGAAATACCGCCACAACTATGTTTAATAATAACAAAAGTAGCAATAGCATATCTCGATGTGGTGTGATCGACGCCATAACTATGTAACAACAGTTAATTATAATAATAAAGAAGCGATAGATAGTAATCTCGATGGTGTGATCGAAATTCTGCCATATACGGTAATGGCTAAAAGCGATAGTGTAACCTTGATGTATAATGAAATTTGCCATAAAATCGTATTAATATGCGATAGTTTGAGCTCTGTTAAACGCCAAAGTGGTGTGATAAGGGCGGAGTTATAACATCACCAGATATGAACAATGCTACATTACTAAATGAAACATCTCTATTCAATCCAAACTTATAAATAGTCGTACTGCTCCATCCACGTCCACATTATCTCAAAGATTAAAACTAAATACACATTTATTAGTTATACTCCTCTTAAAATCTAATAAAATCATTAAACAAAATGCTTGCTTCAATGTCGTTAATTGTATATATTGTCGAACAAAATGTAGAGGCAGTCAATAATTATGAAATACAAAGAGGAATAGGGCTTAGCCGTATACCTGAAGGGGAACCACAGCGGATACGCTTTACATACTTTATTCCTGAACAAGAAATAACAGTTGACAGAAGCGAAGATCTTGAACCTTTGACCAGCGGTGCATTACAAACGAATGCGGTGTATCTTGTTTATCTAGTAATAACAGAATTGCCGTATCATTAAGTATAATAGGTATAGAGTTTATAATGGCAAATGAACCAAATAAATAAAGTACATTTAACGACTAAAGTGTAAGCTTCAATGTATTTGCTTCAGAAAATCTTCGGCTTACATGTTATGAAGGTTTAATACTGACGGGGTATTTTTAATAGACTAAATTACGTGATTCAAAAGGATCAGATTCACGGGATTGACTTGAATATAATAAAAATTTATACAGCGACTTGGATTATAGTAATGGAACTTCGACATATTTTGCAACGCGTATACATCAAGCTTCAACGTTACCATTGGTTTACAACCCGTAAAAGCCCAATATAACGTTTATAGTCGTGTCTTATATACGTGAGTTGTTCATAGTTTCGGCCATCTAACTTTATTTTAACACATTTATTATATAATGTACGTAAAATTATCCTTCCAACAAGTTGTAAGTCAGTTACACGTTTTCAAAGATCCGTGTGTGATGTAACACAATGAACGTTGAGAATGCTCTCCCCGTGACTGTAATCGAAAATGTCAGGGGTTAATAATCCAGCAATTGACAACTTGATTCAATCCAGCAATTGGGAAAATTAAGACTTGAATGGATTCCTACGAGACATAAAGCCAACTCAAATTGACAACGTCTATTACGCTGCTATTCGCCACGTCAAAATAGTACTGGTATTTCTTGGAAACAGCGAAAGAATGTACACCAACACTTGCGAATGAGTTTGCCAGAATATACTCCTTCTAACGCACAAGTACAATAATGATTTCAGTCAATATAGACGATATTCCCAATGGGCTTTACTCTCGCAACGAACTCATAAAGGGATTTACCAAGTATGATAACAACTATTACGCGGTTGCTGATAAACTCCTTTATCATTGTTATTTTCGATATGGATTCTACTCTGCATGTGGAAGACTTCGATGTACTTCCGTGTGGTGTTTGTGTGGATATAAAGAATTATCCGATGGATGGACTAGTAACAATAATCAACTCGATGAGTCTATTAAGAAGTCTCAATTACAAACAAACTCAGCAAATAATGCCTATTTTATATTTTGGAATGGATTCCATTGAGAATAGCAGATATGCAATACGCTTATATGGACTACCTACTCTAGTTGGGTTTTATTGATCCCACTTGAAATAACAGATGAGACAGATGATTTATATTATGTCGAGGTAAACTATTTACTTATGCATCATGCTTATTGAAAAGTTTAAATAATTATTGACATATTATTATGTATCATTTCCACTAGTTATTTGATGAGCATCCAGATATTCTTACCACGGATGTTTAGGTTACCATTGGATTTGCATACAAAGCATGTGAACAAAAGTACTGTCTCATAAAAGTTGGCGATGGATTATGTCTGACATATACAAAACGATTGGAACCTAAGATAAATACATTCTGTTATCAGTGCAAAGCACCAAGACCTATCGATTGGACTACGGGCAACAAATCTTTGGATTCATTTATAATGGAATCATGGAAGAATACGAGTAGCACAGATGATACGTATATACAATGAGTAGAATACTTTCTACTGATGAATGCACCATGGATGCATACATATAGCAGAATGGTTAGAATCGACACCAAATGAATTGACACGTGTGGCACTCAAAAAGATAGTTGACAAACAAAACGATCAGTTATTTGATTTCATTAGGTAATTATTTTACGTGTAAAGTGAAATAGTATTATTAACGTGTGTATCGCGCTTTTAAATCGACCAGTGTTGTAACGACTGTATTTGTTTATTCAATAGCTAACTAAGGAATACCCAGAGATGTTAACACCCGAGAATATTGGGAGCCATCTACTCGGGGATATTATTTAGTTTTCTACCATAAAATACGCCCAATATTGGACAAATTATACGAAATAATGACTTTATAAAGTACATGCAGTATAGCGACTTTTACGAACTCGAAGAGATCAGATCTGGTGGTTACGGAACAGTTTATACTGCCAAATATAAAGATAATGTGCAACAAACTGTTGTACTCAAACGGTTAAGAGTTTTTGATGAAACGCCGGAATTATTTATTTCCGAGGTAAGCAATAATTGGTAGTATTAATTAAAGTGATATTTAATTTGACTCTGTATTCGTTTTCATTTAATAGTTCAGAAATCATGCCAAGTGCGGTTACGATTTAGACCCAGAAACAAAAGAGTATGATTGTTATGCAGTATGTTAACACTGGTAGTCTTTTGTCTTATTTGAATCAAAATATTAACAAATTGATGTGGAGATGATATTAGAGTATTTGCATGATATTGCAGATATCTGATTGCTATTCATGATGTGGGATTAGCGCATTGTGATCTTCATGGCGGAGGCAACCATTGATATGCGATCTTGGTCTTTCACTATCAGTGAATTCACTCGAGAGTCAAATTCAACATTCGAGGCGTTTTACCTTTTATTGCACCGGAAGTCTTCCATACCTGCAAATTTACGAAGAAATCAGCTGTGTATTCTTTTGGTATCATTATGTATTTGATTGCTACTGGGAACCACCGTTTAGAGATAGAGAGAGTTGGATAGAGAGAGTTGGATAGAGAGAGTTGGATAGAGAGAGTTGGATAGAGATTTAGTATGCGATATTATGGGCGGACTACGACCATCGATGCCTGATTCCGCACAGAGAAACTTGCCGGGCGGTGTTGTGATAATGATCCTGATAAGCGTCCATCACGGGGACTTTATTTTGATATTCGCAAGCTTTTTGAAGAGGACAATTCTGATGACAACGCGTGGAATACCATCTATCATAATGATGTAAAACCGTTATCACGTCTCGAGAAGGAGAGTAAATACTTTTACCTACAGGAGATTTACTTCAACCAAGAAACAGTTATGATTTGGATTCAGCTGCAGGTATGAAGACAACAACTGGTTGTTATATGTAAAGTCAATTAACAATTTTAGCATCGCCTACTGTTTATGATTTAGTGACTAAAACTTTTTGAATAAACTTTAATCATCTCTTTTTCCAATTAATACGGACACTTTACATTTAACATAGAAAAAGGGCTACCCAATCATAGGATATCAAGTTTCCTAAGTCTACGATTCAAGACAATTTTCATTGTACGCCATGTCAATCCGAAGTGCGCGACCTCCTTTTATTGATAAACCATGAATCCGAAATTCAAAAAGATCTTGCTGGTTTGTATCTGAAGATACTGTTGCGGTTCGCACTTTTAATTGGGATATTACGTAGGTGTGTTTGCAAACCGGGGGATGAACTTACTGGGGCTCGTACTACCCTTATTTAATAGTTGCATCACTTACTATTAATTAGTTGTTCGTGCGATTTGTCTCTATACTTAACACGAATATCTTGAAATAAGAGCACCAACTATTGTATATAGCAACAAATTTTATGATCGAGGGAATAATTAGTGTTAAATTCTAATCTAATACTCGATTTGCGTGTTGACCGGTCAATTACGTATATCCTATCGCTCGCTCTTTTACTTTTGCTAATAAAAAATTTATTATTTAGAAGGGCATAAATCTCTAAATTGTTGGATCGATTGGCGTTTTCTCGGTTGTGTAAAGCTGCTGTTATTCATGCTATACATAAGCAATTTCGGACTCAATTAAGCTGTTGATTTGTTTATGAGTTTTATCCGGATGTGTCATAAATATTCTGGTCGTGAGTTATAGGCCGGCAGGTATTGACAACTCCGGTTTTATTTATCTCTAAAAATGAAACACTTGAAAGTTGTACGGAAAAGTGTCAGCATAATTAAATAAGCACTCATATCATCTAATAAAAACCACATCCTATATAAAGAACATTTTATCATGGAACGTAATTAGTAAGTTCCCTTTATAATTTACAGGATTAGCATTTTCTTAATTTATATAATAATAAGAACAATCTATAAAATAATTTTGCAGAACGTTTATACCTCTGTATAAGAACAAGTGTCTGTGCTGCATGTTGATCGGTTGGCAACTAATTAGTAGCTAAATATACAGAGATAGTAGTAATAGTAATAGGTAAATTTGAATATAGATTATTATTATTATTATATTAATGTGCAGGGGTAAGGTCTGACATATAATGGATAGCTCATTGAGTAAATTTATTTGATAAATAGTATGCAAGTTTAACTAGCTGATGCAACACTTATTCTATTCTCATAATCTTTTTATTTGCCAAAGCATATTGCATGCTAGTACTAGTTATAAATAACAATTGCAAATTTCTGGCCTCTCTTTGTAACTTAATCATAATCATGACATTATTGCTCTTGAAACAGTAAAAAAGCCCAAATAATAGTATCAAATGGTATCAAATGGTGGCTTTCTTGTACCTCAACATTTCTATCCAGTACAGTCTTACCTATTATTTGGCACAGAATAAACACCATATTATAATTAGTTGCTAACAATCATAAACTTTATCATATGAGCCAAGAAAATTCAGTGAGCTTAATATTGAAATAATGCACAAGACTGAAAGCATATCTATGCAAGACTTTTTTTTATAAAGATTTTGTAAGCTACTTGTTTAGGTAAACTCAACACATTAAAGATCAAGAGCTTATAAGTCATAATTACACCAATAGAATGCAATCAAAAACCGTAGTCTGTACATTTGTCATACAGAGCCTGAATCCCACAGCTGTTGGAGTTCACCCCAAACATTGCTCATTTGAGGACGCCTAATAGGATTTTGATCCCAGCATGACTTCATTATCTTAGCATATCCTGGTGGTGTTTGTTCATTAATTTCAGGTCTAAGACCAGAAACTACTCTTCGTTTGACTGTTGCAGCATCTATTCCCTCATATGGGATCCTATGAGCTGATATTTCCCATAACAACATACCAAAACTACAAATGTCTTACATCAGTTTTGCACATAATGATCATCAACAACCAACATTACTATACATTACCTGTATACATCTGTTGCTCTTGAAAACGCCAGAGTCTTATTTAACATCTTTTCAGGACTTTGCCATCTGACTGTCTCATTGCCCTCACCAAAGACACATGAATTATCCATTAATTCAGACTGATAGTGAAAATTGGTCAATTTTGCCTCTTCAAACTGATTAACTATTACATTTAAACTGTTAAAGAATTTATCATTAGTATTAGTAATTTTAGTAATACAACATAAATCTTACAATTGTATATATTAGCTATTAACAAGTAACATTCTGTATCATGCATTATTGACTAATTGCTGGCTAAATCACTACTGTTAGAACAAGGTTTTTGACGATTTAGTCAATTTCTGTTTTTCTTTGGAGGAAAAAGCCAAGAGTAAATTAAAAAAATGTGTTATTCAACCTAAAGATCAACTAATTAATCAATGAGTAAATATGCTAAATAAAGGAGGGAGAATTATCTTATAAGTGTAGTTTGGATGTGTTTTGTCCAGGGATTTATGCAACAGCACCAGCTGAAGATATGTCACTATTGTTGCTGTCATCACTACAATTAGTTGCTATCACAAATACTGGTGTTTACCTTCTAATATCTTGATGGAGAATAGATTTAGCATGACAAAATGCAAGTGCTTGTGCCAAATTATATGCCTGTGTGAGTTTCCAATTCCAGTTAACAATATGATCATTTCTTTCATCTCGAAGAAATTCAAACAATGTTCCAAACTCAGGCCACTCTGCTATCAAGTAATATCCACGATCATACAATATTCCATATCTAAACAAACAATGGTTCGTTATTTGACGAGAAAATGTAAAAAATGTCGTTCACAACCTTTGATACTAACTCTCTCAGTATATATTGGCAATGACCAAGGACATTCTTATTAATATACACTTGCATATAATACTTTTTTACGTCTTTACTTCGTTTGGCTATTTTCTTTTTTATAGCATATACCCCAAAGCAATATCGCACTTTGGTCTGAGCTGCCTTTTTCTTACTTTTAGTTTTTTCAAGAGGAACAATCTCACTAGATGATACAAAAAAATCATCTATCTGATCTTTGGACAATTTGTCAACTTTAGCCTTGATTGACGGCAAAGGATCTATTGTTATTTCTGGCATATCGATGGCTTATTTCTTATTAATACACCCTCTGCTTATGGCCTTGCTAGAAGGGTGGACTTTGGAGTAAAGAAAAGTTAAATTTCAGTTTTTTTTTTGCGTATATAATAAGGAGTTAAACTCCGATTGGTTGAATTGACCAATAAAATAAATCGTCCTACAGATGCGTGGACAAATAAAGCACAACAATAGATCAAGCGCAACGTTGAACTTAAAATTTTTGGTTAGTATTAGCACTAAGCAAGTACTTCATATCTCTAAAGATCACGATCTAGATTGTCTTTGTTCCTGGTGTGAGACCAGAAAACTATCGTATAAAATTGGTTATCGGCGAAATTATTCGCTGGAAAAGCCTTTGTTAATAACATCAAAGCTAACCGTTCTAGGCAATTATGTGACAAAGATGCCCCCTTCGACATGAAAATACGTAGTACGATATCTTTTAAGAACGGGACTTTGTTACGGAGAGATCTCGATCGAATCTTCTAAGCGAAGTGTTTTACAACATACGGAATTGCATACTGCATGAACGACTCGTGTTCGACTTCAATATAAAGTAATTCACCACACATGTCGAATGATAACAATTTGTCAGTTTGTGTGATAGAGGATTTTCAACTCGCACGCTTCATGATGCCAATAAAGATTATGATAATATGGAAAGGGAGATTAGCATGCAAATTACCTGCGTCATATTCTTCCAACGTAGGGGCTTATGTGGTCCATTACTACAATTGAATATATCATGTAGGTTTTAGACTTTGCTATTAATTTTTAGGCGCTTTGTTCTTATTATTATAATAACTTGCACCATGATATCAACAGTTATAACGGCTCAACATTTCTTTATATATTACATATCGAGATTGACTAATTACAGTAATTAATCTTTATTATTAGAGATAAAATCAATATAACCTAATGGCTTACAGAATTATCGCTAAAAAAGATGTGGTTCAAACAAAAAAGACAGCATTCACAATGCCCGTTGTCATAATAATTGAAGCTGTACTATGCACTATAAACTTGTCAAAGACATTGACGATAACATAAGGATGAAACATTGCTGCTATTAATGTATAGAGTATAAAAAGCATTATTTTGCATCCAAATACTAATTACTAACGGCATTCATGCAAGGAAAGGATTTCAAAATGATGTTTATCTATTATTGTGCAGTAAAAACATGAAAGTTTGCAGACTCTATAAATATGATAAACATTATACTAGTTGCTACTACTTATAATAATAGCCTTTCCGTTATTGATATGAATAGTACATTTACAAGAAGATGAAGGTTTTACTGAAGTACATGTTAATATTCTAGGTTAAATTAGTGATCACAGAAATTTGTGTTCAATTGTAGACATACTAATACTAAAACAATACCGTTTTTGTTTCCACAACCATTGGTAACAAAAAAGCTTGCTAGAAAGTATAGATAATATTAACATTAATACTACGTGTAATTAGAAAAACCGAAAGAATCCAAGAAGTTATTATATTGACTTGGTTTATGACATGGGGCAGACTGCAACAAAACCAGACAAAGTGAACATTCTATAAATGAGTGGCTGATTATGATGTGGTTGTAAAAT